CAGCTGAGCTTGTGTTGCTAGATAACAAGTGGAACTCTGCTGGAGTTGCTAGGTAATGGTAGAACTCTGCTAGGGTTGCTAGGTAACGAGCAGAACTCTGCTGGGGTTGCTAGGTAGCGGTGCAGCGCCTGCTGATTTGTGACGTTAAATTCTGGAGGTTTTTGAAACATCTTGATTTCCAGAGGCCAAAAAACATGAAGATTATGTCAAAAACAGGCTGGGTGTTTTTATTTAAAGACCTTGTTTTGCTTTTAGAAGCAGTAGAAACCCAAATGGAAGTATAAAAATGTGTAAAATATGAATTTTGCATAATATGCCCACTTTAATTTTGATTGAAAAAAGTACTATTTCCACCGGAAGATTATTTCACTCATAAGACATTTTTTCCATTCTATAAAATAATCACAGTGGAGTCAGTACTTTGTCAATATTAAGGGATTTTTTTACCTAAAACCAGCTCCTATATCTTGCTGAAAAGTTACTAGTGAGTTAGTTTAATCGTATTTCAAGTGTATGAATATATTTCCAGTAGAAACTGGACCAACAACACTGGGTAGTATTTGGTGTTTTGGCAGTGAATGATCAGTGAACTCCTTCAGCAGCACAGTCCCAGTTGCCGGGCTCCAGCCGGCCGACCTCGGCGCTCAGCAGCAGGTTTTTAGCGTTTCAGTTTCAGCTGTGAAGCTTCGCGCCCAGCTAGCACCAGTCCTCCTCCTCCCGCTCCCTGAGACCCGCCACTCCCCTGCTGCTGCCCGGCGCAGACCCCAGCGTGAAGTGGTAGCCGTTCGGCACGCCCGCTGCCCGCCCCTGCGCGGCGGCGCTTCTGGAGGAGTGTCCCCCCCCATGGCTGCTCACAGCATCCTGGAAGTCCTCGCCCTCCTCCAGCAGGGACGAGTCCAGCTGCTGCCGGCTCGCGTTAGAGTCCGGACCAACTGGAGCTTTGGGCTCCTCCTGAGCCGCTAGCAGGCGGTCGTGCTCCGATGCGGCGCGGACGAAGCGAGACCCGGGCGTGGAGGCGCTGGGCGTAGCAGCTGAGGAGGTGGGGGTCTTGTAGGCCACGGCGGGCCGAGGCGTGAGCGGCGTCTGGGGGAGCTGGCGGCGCCCGCGGGCCTGAGCGCTGGTACCAGACGGCGGCTTCGTCACAGTGCTTCCCTGCTGGGAAGCACAACTACACTGTCACTTTAAGGCAGGCCTGGGCAATAACCAATAATATAGAGCATGACCAATATCAATAGATAATACTTCCGAACCGCACGGCTACAGCACCACCACCAGGCCCGGCAGACCTACTGCACCATCGTTTACTGGAACATGTCTCACCTGTTTGATGAGGCCAGAGTCCTGGCTCTCTCCCGGAGACGTGGACCGGCTCGGACCGGCCGACCGGGCCTGACCCGGCTCCCTGCTGCCGTAGCGCTCGCAGGAGTAGTAGCGCTGCTTCTCCCCAGCGGAGGAGTGGTGCCTCCTCTCATGGGGCCGGCTGCGGTCCCGCTCCCTCGCTCGCTCTCTGGACAAACCGTCGGCTGACGGGTCTTCAAACGAACCTACAGGACGGAGACATTCAATGACTTACGGAGACAGTTTACTTTTAAACATTTAAAGCTCTGCCAGTTTCTAATGACTCATCACATGATCAAACTTAATCACATGGCATTTTAATCGCAACATTAGCAAAATACTGACAAAGTTATGCGCATATTTGTAATGAATCAAACATAAACAAGTAATTTCATCATAATCAGGCGTCAGATGAGCTTTAAGGTCTCAAACTTTCTTCTTCTCTTTCTTCCTGCTGGTGGTTTTGGTTCCCACCAGGACGTTTCTGACCTCCGTCTGCTCTGGCCTTTTAGCTCAGCTATGAAACCCAGCAGCGACTCTTTACTGGTCAGAAACCAGTCAGTATAACTTTAGCAGATCACCAGTAACAGAAACCAACTTCTGTGACCAAAACCTGCAGCTAAAACCAGAAGGAACCTGGTGAGGAAAACATTTCTGTAGTTTGTGGAGCCTCAACACTGAAAAAAACTTACCAAGTACTTCTGGTCTGGTTTAAATAACTTATTCAGAATCTATCTATAAGAATCTCCTATTTCAAGTGAACTACGATACTTGCAGCAGAAACTGGACCAGAATTTCTTGGTAAAGATGTAAATTTTGGTGTTTAATTTTTTTCTGGCTCACCGACTGCGCCGGTCGGCGGCGCTGAGGACGTTTTATCCAGAGACTTCTGCTTCCTGTCTTTGTCCTTGTCTCTGCGGCGGTGACAGCGGTGATGGTGGTGATAGTGGTGGGTCCGTTCCGGGTCCGGTCCGGCACAGAACCGGCTCTGGTCGACCCGCTCCAGGTCGTAGTCCCTCAACCCGATCTGCTGGGGCGTCAGCGATGACGCCGAGCGTTTTATTGGGCTGAGGTCAACGATCGGCTGGAAGGAGGGACGAGGGAAAGGTCAAAGGTCAAGCGGACTGCTTGGCAGTGGATCCATGAAATATTCACAACATGAAACCAGAGAGCAGCGACTTCACGTCTAAACATTAAACCTGTTTGAACGTCTGAATGAAGACTGAACTGCCATCATCCTCCAACTACTTCCTGTTTTCTTCTTTGTCGTTTCCAACAGTGGTAACATCCTGTTGTTGATCATGTGACTCGTGTGATGCGAAAAAGTGTTTTTATTGCAGTTTTGCAAATTTTGATATGTCCAAAACACCCACCTCATCTCATCACCAAAACCTTTTATCAAAAAACAAGTTAATTCAAAGCTAGCGTGTCTCCATTAAGCAAATTTATTTCTGTAACTCCAATTATATAATCGATAGAAATGAAGCTGCTGCTTGAAGTTAAATTAGACTAAACCTCTAGTTTTTTGTTAAAATTACCAAAAATTATTTTATTTGCCAAAATACACCCACAGGTGAGATGGATTCAAATGAACTCAGAGGTGAGGTTTGCACTGCAAAAACACAAAATCTTACCAAGTATTGCTGTCTAGTTTCTACTGAAAATATCTTAAAGTTAAATAAAAGAAAACTAGCTTACAAGCAACTTTTCAGCAAGATATAGGAGCTTGTTTTAAGTCAATAATCTCTTAATTGATGAAAAATACAAGTTCTACTGGCAGATTAATTCATTTATAAGATGGGAAAAATATTTTAAGTGAAATGATCTGCCGGTGGAAGTTGAACTTTTTCATTGATATTAAGGAATTATTTTCTTTAAACAAGCTCCTATATTTAGCTGAGAAGTTCATTGTAAGATAGTTTTATTTTATTTCAAGTGTATTTTCACGAGAAACTAGATAACATACCTGGTAAGATTTTGTGTTTTTACAGTGTAACTTCTATGCTAATGCTAAGATGGTTTCCACTCTGCATAATTAAACATTTTAAGATACATTTGGTTTTTGAACTGCTAAAAAAGGCAGTTAGAGGGACACACTAAAAATATGTAATGCATCATATTAAAGTATTCACTTTTCTCCTTAAAACTGACAATTTATTTTATTAGATAGTGCTGCTCACTCTGTCTGGTTCTTACCTTGTCGGTTGCAGAAATCAAACTGGTGAGTCGAGGAACTGAACCAGCAACCAAAACTCACCTTCCAACTGAAATTAGCAGGAATTTAAACCAAAACGAACCATTTTATAGACTTAAAATGTTAAATTATGAGTCTGATTAGATACATTTTGCAGTGAATTGGTGGAGCGGTGGTTCTTGTTCCTCTCTCACAGTTTGAGACGTTGCTGCAGTCAGAATCCAGAGACGACATCATGTAAAGAAAACGACTTTAACAGTCATTTTATTCAGCAAGCAGCCTTAAAATCTCATTATTTTAACAGAAATAAATAATTTGCACCAGAATTTTCTCTAATTCTGTTCCCATCGCAAAAATGGACAGAATTAAAAGTTTTCAAATTTTAATTTAAAGCCTGAAAATTACACTGCAAAAACACAAAATCTGACCAATTTCCACTATATATAGTTTATAGTGGAAATAAATTAGTTAACTTGAACTAAGAAAAACTAACAAGTAACTTTTCAGCTAGAAGTAGGAGCTGGTTTTAAGAAAACAATTCCTTAATATTGAAAAAGTAGCAGATTATTTAACTTATAACAAGGGAAAATGACAAGTTATCACTGAAATAATCTGCTACTTTTTCATCAATATTAAGGAATTATTGTCTTAAAATAAACTCATATCTCTTGCTGGAAAGTTACAGTAAGTTAATTTTAAATTATTTCAAGTCTGACCAGATATTTGCATGAAAAACTATGAAAATAAAACAACTTGTTAACAGTATTGTTCCACAGTTTTTGAAGTGTAAGAGCTCGTTTTAAGTCAAAATTCTTGAAAGATTTATAAAACTGGGATGATTTCACTTAAAACATTTTTCCATGTTATAAGTGAAATAAACTGCTGGTACTTTTTTAAATCAAGGAATTATTTCCTTAAACTCCTGTATTTCGCTGAAAAGTTATTTTCAAATTAGTTTCAATTAAAGTGTGCTAAACTGTTTCCACTAAAAACTAGACAAAAAATGTGGTAGCATTTTGTGTTTTTGCAGTGAAATCCCCAAAAACACACAAACTGCACTGCAAAAACACAAAAATACAAAGTATTTTTTATCAAATATCTTAGTACATTTTAAATGAGACAAAACTAATTTACAGGTAACTTTTCAATAGGAGCTTTTTGTAAATCAATAATTCCTTAAAATTGCAGATTATTTCACTCCCAGTGGAATAAGTAATTTTTATGAATATTCAAAAATTATTGACTTAAATCAAGCTCTTACACTGCAAAAACTAAATTTTCCCACATAATTAGAGAAATAATGTAAAAACAAGATAAAATACTTGGTAACATTTTGTGTTTTTGCAGCTTATTGTCTCAATTTAACGAACCAAATAAGATTTTAAGACTGAAATCAGTAGAAATGAGAAAACCGAACAGGTTTTAAGTGAGAAATCTTCAAAACAGAAGAGCAGCAGTACCGTCTCTACCTTCCACAGAACGACACAAACACTCACAACCACAGTGTGCAGCACCGTACTGCTGAAAAGCAGGAGACGAACCTGAGAACACATACAGATACCTTTCCAAGGATGTATGGCTTCAATGTGAATGTAAATCGCTTTTTTAAAAATGAGATTATATGGAATGGGTGGTGCGTTGTGGAGGGCGTTAACTGCGATGTGATGGAGGCAAAAACACAAAGAGAGAGAAGAGGGGAGGACAGAGAGGTGGCGCAACAGGTGGTACATACTGCCAGGTGTGTCCCGGGGGCGTGGCGAGGGTGGCTCCGCTAAGGACAGCACGCACAAGAGGAGGCGGGCAAAACATTAGCAGTGAGCATCAACACAAGAAAAAACGGGAAGACAGGAAGAGAAGAAGAAGAAGAATGAGGCTGTTTCTGTAGTTTCCTGCTGCCCACAGAACCCAACGGGGAAAATTAGCTCCTAATGTCAGTTTCTTTAGAAAAAATAAATGTTAAACTGGAGTTTTAGACACATTTAATTATAAATGTTGATTTTAAGTTGCTTTTTTTTTTTTACATTAAATAACATGATCGCGCTTCCTTAAACAGGTTCTGTTACTTTAAACCTAAATTAACTCCAACATTTACACTGGTTGCTAGGTAACGGGCAGAGTTCCACTGGGGTTGCTAGGTAACGGGCAGAGTTCCGCTGGGGTTGCTAGGTAACGGTAGGTAACAGGCAGAGTTCCGCTGGGGTTGCTAGGTAACGGAGTAACTTATTGTCAGAAAATGGCTGGGCGTTTGGTATTTTTAAACACTTGTACTATTTTTAGAAGAAGTTGAGACCCAAATGGAAGTATAAAAATGTTAAAAATGACAAATTTTGAATAGTTGGTCTTTTTTTAAAAAAAGTCTAGAGTAAATCCTCATCTCTTCAAGTTTTCTGAATTCATATGCTTTATCTGTATATTATCTTTTAAAGTGGTTGGGTCAAAAGATTTTCAGACTTTTTGTTGCTCTGGATTTTTTTTTATTTTTCATTTAGAAACTCAGAAAACTTGCAGTATTTTGGTGAAAATTTACTTCTCTTTTTATGCATCTACATTACCTGTAAAACGCTGTTATAATGTTCTTTACTGTCCATGATTTATTTTGTTTCTGTATGTTTCTTGTTTTAAATAAAGTCACTGGGGAAAAATAAAGAACATGTAGAGAGGAAATGGAACTGCTCTGTGTTCATCCACTTCAAAATAAGAGCATGAACATAAACCGTCTAACTACATAAAGAATCTATAACAGTCGTTAACAAAAACTTGAACTGAAAATGTAAATTTTGGGTTTTCTAATATTAATTTAGGGGGAAGCTAAGTGTGATAAATGTTCCCTAAGCTAGCAAAATGCTAAGCGCTAACTTAAAATTAGCTACGTTACCAGCAGAAGTGTAGATTTGCATCAGGTTCTCCTAAAAAAATAGCTTAAGGTATTTATACAATAAAATTACTTACAACTACTGACTATACATTAGCAACAGACTTTTTGGATGTTTATTTGTAAAATAATGTTGAGCTTCTATTTTTTTACTACTTTGTCTCACATAAACAAAACAAACCTGTTTAATTCGTGGTTAAACTGAATAATTGGAAAGACCTGAATTCTTTAAGGAGCTTAAAAATGCAAAGTAAACAGGGGGAAAGCACATGTTCAAGAATCGTGGAGGGAAAGACGGTGACAGACGGAAACCAGACAGTGAGACAGTAAAGCTGAACAGACGGGTGGAAAAATCCAGAGAAACAAATCCTCTAAACGTGGCGTCAACACAGCAGATTCCACAGAATGAAATTAATACACATTAAGAACTGTTTAAAGTTTATGAGAATTACATCACTGGACATGCAGAGATGGTTTACTCAACCCTTTGAAAGGAAAAACTGAAGATAAAAAGAACAGGAATAAACAGCAACAGCAATAAAATCTGAACATTTTATTATAATTCAACATATTTTCTGTTAAAAAGTTTGATTAATTCATGCGTATAAGTACAGAAGCTCTTAAAGGATAATAACGTGAATAAAAGAAGAGTTGGTTTGTTTAGAAAGTCCAGTTTGAATGCCAAGCGGACTCTAGTCTGATCCAAAACCAGGAAGTGGACTACAACGCAGGGCATTCTGGGTAAATATAAAAACGCACAAGTCTAGCGCTGCAGGGAGAAAAGACTCGTGGTCTTTTACCAACAACTAAAAAATAAAATACTGGTGGTAAAAATATAAAGTTTTTCATCAATATTAAAGGGGCTTTATTATGTGTCGTCCAGGCGTAGATCACTATGTTACTTCATATGTATCGAATGACTTAAAATAAATCTGGCTTCGTAATTTAACTCCTTGAAGTTAGGCTTCTGTCTCTTTAAAAACTCCTGCTCTTTCTGAAACAACATGGCTGCTCTGTTAACCCTTTAATTAACCCTTTAACAAGGTTTTTACTAGTGGCTCACAGAATGAGCTCAGCAGACTCTCAGCTCCACCAGGTGTTTGCTGATTAGCGCTGGCTAGTCTGAAGGAGCTGAGAGGGGGAGGAGCTTTGTGCTCGAAGGCGGAGCTAGGTCCAGCCAAGCGTTCTGCACAGCTGAATGGTTGCCATGGAGACTGAAGGATTTCTCAAATGCATTAAAGAATCAACACTCCAGGTTTGTTTTTGATGAGGGACTAAGTCAGTGTTTGTCAGTTTTGTTTTAATTCAACTGAACTAAGATATTTACACTATAAACTAGAGCAGCAACCCTTGGTGTGTTTCCACCAGGGAATCTTCAGGTCGGCCATTTTGAAAGCCTTCGAGTAGAGGAAGACGATGCTTACGTGGTACTCTGCGTTTAGGCGTGGCAGCGATGCGGCTCTGGTGTGGCCCTCCAGGCCAGGCTGGCCCTCTGCGTCAGACATGTTCTCCGGCTTCGGGTCGGCCTGCCGCTCCTGACATGAAACGCCGTCAGCGGGAGTTTGGAGGAATCAGAAACAGGAAGTAGTTTTTCTACCTGAGCTCTGCTGCAGCGGTGGACGTCCTCTGACTGGCCTCTCTGTAGCCGGCGGCGCGGCTTCAGCCTCGCAGCCGCCGGGGAGAAATCTCCAGACTGGGAATGTTTGATGGAAGTCCTCTGGTTCAGACTGGGAGGGGAGACAGAGACAGTGCAAAACATTATGACCAGACAAAACCAAGGAAACTAACACTGATGGATTCAGGGATGGATGGATGGATGGATGGATGGATGGATGGATGGATGGATGGATGGATGGATGGATGGAGGAACAGTTGAATGAATGGATGGATGAATGGATGAACAGTTGAATGAATGGATGGATGTTAGTTGGTTGGTTGGATGACCAGATGGATAAACAGTTGATCAGTCCGTTGGGTGTCTTACACGGCGTCCATGTTGGCATCCATATTGGTGGCGGTGCTGCTGGTGGAAGTGGGCGGGGCTTGTGGTTTGGGTTCTGGTTCTGGTGGCGGAGCCGGTTTGATTGGCGGCGCCGGCTCGTGTAGATGAGTGAAGGGCAGAACCGGGCGGAACAGAGCGCCCAGCTTACTCTGCAAATGGACCAGAACCAAAACAAACATTTCAATATGACTGATCCAGGAAAACATCCCAGTAAAACCAGTGAGTCAGAACCAGTTCAGTCAGAACCAGTCCTTAGGTCCGTTTACCTGAGAGATCCCAGACGGGTTCTGCTGCTGGAGCTTCTTGGCCCGGTTCTGTTTGTAGTAGTCAAAGATCATGTGGGCAGCATAAACTTTCCCCACCGTCAGCTCGTTGTCTGCACAGAGAGAAAACAGTCAGACGCAGTTCATGTCTGCGGCCACCAGATGGCGCCAGAGGAGCAGCAAAGTACAGCTGATGGGGAGGAAAAAAGAAGAAAATCTTTACTGTAAGATCCATCACACTTTAACACACACACACACACACACACACACACACACACACACACACACATTAAGAACTTACTAATATTGGCAAATAACGATGTTGGTGCTGATATATCTTGCATCCCTAATTTTTACTATCAAATGTATGTTTCATGTTTGACCTCTTGAAGTTCACAGGTAAGTTATTATTACACTAAAATTAAATATTTTGCTATGAAATGTGATGTTTAACTTGGATAAGGAAGTTGGTGCTGCAGCTGCGGCTCACACTTATGCGGCGTGACCAGCAGGTCGACGGTCTTCTGCTGCAGGTTGGGCCAAACGCGGTGGATCTCCCGCTTCAGGTCGGCGTCGCACAGACGCTGTGCCAGCACGCCTTGACACGCACATACACACACACACACACACACACACACACACACAGATCAGGTTAAACCAACATGAGTCGCCAGTACAGCAGCAGGGAACTCTGGGAGTTGTGGTCTGTGAGTCTCACCGGACGCCAGCTTGATCTCCAGTGCGGTGCGGATCAGAGCCATCAGCGTGGAGGTGAAATGGACCGTGTTGTCGTCGGCGATCGGCATGTTCATCCTCACCAGGCGCTGCGGGATGCAAAGGTTAAAGGTCAGGGTGATCAACTCTAAACTAAAAGAGAAAACAGTAAAAGGTTCTGCTCAGGAATCACCAGAAAACAGCGACAAACAGAAAAACAGAGAATTGTCTCACTGGAGAAGCTGTAAGAAGCTACACTGCAAAAACACAAAATCTTATCAAGTATTGTTTGGTTTAGTTTACCACAAATATCTTATCGCATTTGAAATGACACAAAATTAACTTAAAAGTAACCTTCTAGTGAGGTACAGGAGCCTGTTTTGAGTCAATAACCCTTGATAAATAAAGGAGCTCTAGTCTAGCAGATTAGTTCACTTAAAACACTAAAAATGTCATTTTATAAGTAAAATAATCTCCCAATTGTACTAATACTTTTAAAAATCGACACTAACCAATGATAAACTTAAAATCAGCTCCGTATCTTGTTAAAAAGTTACTTCTAAGTTAGTTTTGTCTCATTTCAAGGGATAAGATATTTACACTAAAGAATGAACAGAAAGTACTTGGTAAAATGTTGTTTTTGCAGTGCAGAGTTCAGCATCTCCTGTGTTTTAATCAATGAGGGATTTAGAAGCAGATCAATAATCCAACCTGGAGGGTCAGTTTGTCAATACTGTTATTCCTGGTAATTCAGTGGAAGCAAAAGGAAAACAACCCGAGGAGAACAACAACAAAACGACTTCAATATTTAAAGAAAATAAAAACTTTGGGTGCTTTTTGTTTAATCCTCATCAGTTTAAATGTGTTTGGTTTCAGTGGTGCTTAAACACTGAAAAAACAAAATCTAGTTTTATCTTAGTTCACTGGAATTAAGACAAATGTTTCAGCAAGATAGAAAAAATTAAAACTTGTTAAATTTTGAAGCTCAGAAAATGTTCAGGTTTTTTTCTCTAAAATTTCTGAGATTAATCTCAAAATGTCTGAGTTCGTTCTAGCGTTTTTTTACTTTTTAAACTCAGACATTTTCAAGTTTTATCCAATAAATTTCTTAGATCAACCTCAGCATTTCAGTTGCTTTCTAGACATTTTAAACTTTTCAAATTCAGATATTTTCTTGTTCTTCCTTAGATTAATCTAAATATTTGAGTTCTCTCCAAGCAAAATTTGGACTTTTCAAACCTTGAAATTTCCAACTTTTTTCTACATAATTTCTTAGACTAATCTTTAAATTTCTGAGTTGTTTTCCTAGCAAATGTTCAACTTTTCAAACTCTGAAATTTCCATTTTTTCTGAGATTGATTTCAAAATTTGACTTTTTTTGTTGGAAATTTACTTCTCTTTTTTTATCCATAATAGTCCTATTATGTCATTGTAAAAAATAAATCCCAAATTGTGACTCCTGCTCACATGCATGTTTTAGTGCTTCACCTTCACACTGTGGCTGTTTGTAGGGTCAAACATAAAACCAGTAAGTGATGGTTTGTTACAAGTTCCAGCCAGTTTCAAAGAGGTGCAACAGCCTGTTGAAAGTATTTGCATTTTCTTTGCAAAAACAGATGAAATGAAGGTGAACGAGGGACACATGCTTGTTGACACTTCACATGCTGAGGGTTTATTCAAATGAAAATGGGAGAAAACGCCCAAAGCCCAAAATAAAAGCCATTAAAAGACAAAAGAGGTGGAAACCGGAGGGTAAAACTCCTAACCCAGAGAAACGTGTCGCAGGTTGGCAGGAGGAAGATCAGCGGAAAGGTTTATGTGAATACATTTCTTTGTTTGTGCGTTTCGCTGCCCATTCAGCAGCAGGAGTTATATTTGGAGGCGCGGCGGCGGCGGCGTGCGGCCCGGCGTTTCTAACTGGGGCAAGGACAGGGCCGCGTCGAGTTTGATTCAACCTGACAGCTGTGCACATGCTGGAAACAGTCGCATTACGTCTGCATGTCAGGAGGTAAGCAGCTGGAAGTCAGCATACCTGACGATCACTGAGGCTTCCACTTCAACACGACTGACAGGAAAGAACAACGGAGTGTCAGGGCCACGCTAAGGAAGTTTAAATAATAAAATTACAAGAAAAAAGCCCTAAAAAGACAAGAAGAAAGTCAAGGATACGGTTGTAGTTTTACAAGAATAAAGTCAAAATTTTTTTCAAGTTATCAATTGAGTTAAATTTAAAGTTAATTGATCTTATTAATACAGTGATTTTCTTAAATACCTGAGCTTTCTTGTATTAAAAGAAAACTGTCTTTCTAAAGCATAAATGGCTAAATTTTACATTTTTAATTTTTGAAAAACTATCATCCAATTTTAACATTTTATTACAGCTGTACTTAATACTGACTGAGTATTCTGGAAATCGTGGTTCTCACATTAATAGACATTTATAACATGTAACAAAACTTAAGCTGCTAAATACAAAAATAAAAGGTGAAAATATAAACTTAACCCCCATGAAGAGATATTCATACAGAATTACAACTCAGAAATAGACCTTGCTTTTTGGAATCATGTTTTTTTCCCATCATGTTACAATTTTTCGTTATCTCCGCTTTTTATTACGATATTCTCGCCTTCGTAGCACAACAGTAAATGGTTAATGAGAAGTTGACGCTGCTTCGTCATTAAGCCCGGCTGAATCAAGGTGAAACTTAAGTTTATCGNATGAATGGATGGATGTTAGTTGGTTGGTTGGATGACCAGATGGATAAACAGTTGATCAGTCCGTTGGGTGTCTTACACGGCGTCCATGTTGGCATCCATATTGGTGGCGGTGCTGCTGGTGGAAGTGGGCGGGGCTTGTGGTTTGGGTTCTGGTTCTGGTGGCGGAGCCGGTTTGATTGGCGGCGCCGGCTCGTGTAGATGAGTGAAGGGCAGAACCGGGCGGAACAGAGCGCCCAGCTTACTCTGCAAATGGACCAGAACCAAAACAAACATTTCAATATGACTGATCCAGGAAAACATCCCAGTAAAACCAGTGAGTCAGAACCAGTTCAGTCAGAACCAGTCCTTAGGTCCGTTTACCTGAGAGATCCCAGACGGGTTCTGCTGCTGGAGCTTCTTGGCCCGGTTCTGTTTGTAGTAGTCAAAGATCATGTGGGCAGCATAAACTTTCCCCACCGTCAGCTCGTTGTCTGCACAGAGAGAAAACAGTCAGACGCAGTTCATGTCTGCGGCCACCAGATGGCGCCAGAGGAGCAGCAAAGTACAGCTGATGGGGAGGAAAAAAGAAGAAAATCTTTACTGTAAGATCCATCACACTTTAACACACACACACACACACACACACACACACACACACACACACACATTAAGAACTTACTAATATTGGCAAATAACGATGTTGGTGCTGATATATCTTGCATCCCTAATTTTTACTATCAAATGTATGTTTCATGTTTGACCTCTTGAAGTTCACAGGTAAGTTATTATTACACTAAAATTAAATATTTTGCTATGAAATGTGATGTTTAACTTGGATAAGGAAGTTGGTGCTGCAGCTGCGGCTCACACTTATGCGGCGTGACCAGCAGGTCGACGGTCTTCTGCTGCAGGTTGGGCCAAACGCGGTGGATCTCCCGCTTCAGGTCGGCGTCGCACAGACGCTGTGCCAGCACGCCTTGACACGCACATACACACACACACACACACACACACACACGCACACACAGATCAGGTTAAACCAACATGAGTCGCCAGTACAGCAGCAGGGAACTCTGGGAGTTGTGGTCTGTGAGTCTCACCGGACGCCAGCTTGATCTCCAGTGCGGTGCGGATCAGAGCCATCAGCGTGGAGGTGAAATGGACCGTGTTGTCGTCGGCGATCGGCATGTTCATCCTCACCAGGCGCTGCGGGATGCAAAGGTTAAAGGTCAGGGTGATCAACTCTAAACTAAAAGAGAAAACAGTAAAAGGTTCTGCTCAGGAATCACCAGAAAACAGCGACAAACAGAAAAACAGAGAATTGTCTCACTGGAGAAGCTGTAAGAAGCTACACTGCAAAAACACAAAATCTTATCAAGTATTGTTTGGTTTAGTTTACCACAAATATCTTATCGCATTTGAAATGACACAAAATTAACTTAAAAGTAACCTTCTAGTGAGGTACAGGAGCCTGTTTTGAGTCAATAACCCTTGATAAATAAAGGAGCTCTAGTCTAGCAGATTAGTTCACTTAAAACACTAAAAATGTCATTTTATAAGTAAAATAATCTCCCAATTGTACTAATACTTTTAAAAATCGACACTAACCAATGATAAACTTAAAATCAGCTCCGTATCTTGTTAAAAAGTTACTTCTAAGTTAGTTTTGTCTCATTTCAAGGGATAAGATATTTACACTAAAGAATGAACAGAAAGTACTTGGTAAAATGTTGTTTTTGCAGTGCAGAGTTCAGCATCTCCTGTGTTTTAATCAATGAGGGATTTAGAAGCAGATCAATAATCCAACCTGGAGGGTCAGTTTGTCAATACTGTTATTCCTGGTAATTCAGTGGAAGCAAAAGGAAAACAACCCGAGGAGAACAACAACAAAACGACTTCAATATTTAAAGAAAATAAAAACTTTGGGTGCTTTTTGTTTAATCCTCATCAGTTTAAATGTGTTTGGTTTCAGTGGTGCTTAAACACTGAAAAAACAAAATCTAGTTTTATCTTAGTTCACTGGAATTAAGACAAATGTTTCAGCAAGATAGAAAAAATTAAAACTTGTTAAATTTTGAAGCTCAGAAAATGTTCAGGTTTTTTTCTCTAAAATTTCTGAGATTAATCTCAAAATGTCTGAGTTCGTTCTAGCGTTTTTTTACTTTTTAAACTCAGACATTTTCAAGTTTTATCCAATAAATTTCTTAGATCAACCTCAGCATTTCAGTTGCTTTCTAGACATTTTAAACTTTTCAAATTCAGATATTTTCTTGTTCTTCCTTAGATTAATCTAAATATTTGAGTTCTCTCCAAGCAAAATTTGGACTTTTCAAACCTTGAAATTTCCAACTTTTTTCTACATAATTTCTTAGACTAATCTTTAAATTTCTGAGTTGTTTTCCTAGCAAATGTTCAACTTTTCAAACTCTGAAATTTCCATTTTTTCTGAGATTGATTTCAAAATTTGACTTTTTTTGTTGGAAATTTACTTCTCTTTTTTTATCCATAATAGTCCTATTATGTCATTGTAAAAAATAAATCCCAAATTGTGACTCCTGCTCACATGCATGTTTTAGTGCTTCACCTTCACACTGTGGCTGTTTGTAGGGTCAAACATAAAACCAGTAAGTGATGGTTTGTTACAAGTTCCAGCCAGTTTCAAAGAGGTGCAACAGCCTGTTGAAAGTATTTGCATTTTCTTTGCAAAAACAGATGAAATGAAGGTGAACGAGGGACACATGCTTGTTGACACTTCACATGCTGAGGGTTTATTCAAATGAAAATGGGAGAAAACGCCCAAAGCCCAAAATAAAAGCCATTAAAAGACAAAAGAGGTGGAAACCGGAGGGTAAAACTCCTAACCCAGAGAAACGTGTCGCAGGTTGGCAGGAGGAAGATCAGCGGAAAGGTTTATGTGAATACATTTCTTTGTTTGTGCGTTTCGCTGCCCATTCAGCAGCAGGAGTTATATTTGGAGGCGCGGCGGCGGCGGCGTGCGGCCCGGCGTTTCTAACTGGGGCAAGGACAGGGCCGCGTCGAGTTTGATTCAACCTGACAGCTGTGCACATGCTGGAAACAGTCGCATTACGTCTGCATGTCAGGAGGTAAGCAGCTGGAAGTCAGCATACCTGACGATCACTGAGGCTTCCACTTCAACACGACTGACAGGAAAGAACAACGGAGTGTCAGGGCCACGCTAAGGAAGTTTAAATAATAAAATTACAAGAAAAAAGCCTTAAAATGACAAGAATAAAGTCAAGGATACGGTTGTAGTTTTACAAGAATAAAGTCAAAATTTTTTTCAAGTTATCAATTGAGTTAAATTTAAAGTTAATTGATCTTATTAATACAGTGATTTTCTTAAATACCTGAGCTTTCTTGTATTAAAAGAAAACTGTCTTTCTAAAGCATAAATGGCTAAATTTTACATTTTTAATTTTTGAAAAACTATCATCCAATTTTAACATTTTATTACAGCTGTACTTAATACTGACTGAGTATTCTGGAAATCGTGGTTCTCACATTAATAGACATTTATAACATGTAACAAAACTTAAGCTGCTAAATACAAAAATAAAAGGTGAAAATATAAACTTAACCCCCATGAAGAGATATTCATACAGAATTACAACTCAGAAATAGACCTTGCTTTTTGGAATCATGTTTTTTTCCCATCATGTTACAATTTTTCGTTATCTCCGCTTTTTATTACGATATTCTCGCCTTCGTAGCACAACAGTAAATGGTTAATGAGAAGTTGACGCTGCTTCGTCATTAAGCCCGGCTGAATCAAGGTGAAACTTAAGTTTATCGTGTGTTTATATTTAAAAACAGAACCGCATAAAGTGTATTTTTCATCCCGCAACGGACTCAGTTAGGTCTGTTTCTCTTCCCCGTTCTGTTAGCTACGCCATTTTTGTTTCAGAATCAACGGCTCTGCCGCTACGGGATGGCCAACAGTGCCCTCTGATGGATGGCGGACAAACTACAGTAAAAACATGTATATGCGAACGGAATTAGGTAATCGATTGGGTTTCATCGTTAAGTCCGGCTGACTTAAGGTGAAACTTAAGGAACTTGTCGAATGTTTATATTTCAAAACAGAGCCGCATAAAATGTATTTTTAAATCCCACACTGACTCAGTGGACCGTTGGTCTTCCCCGTTCTGTTAGCTCCGCCATGTTTGTTTCAGAATCAATGGCTCTGCCTGAAGCGGCAGAGTCGTTGAGAGAAGGGAGAAGGACCTCGCGGCAGCTAACAGAAAGCAGCGGGAGGGACCACATACAGTCTCATATCTTATTTGGAAATGAGATCACAGATAATATAGGAAATAGAGCCCCCTTCATTTTCGGAGTGCATTGGTCCCATTTCCAAATAAAGTTTGAGACTGGCCGTCTTCGCCGCGTTTGCTGCAACGAGGTGTACTTAGCGGCGCCTTATGCTGAATGGCGGATAAAATACAACCCCGAAACACGGTGTAAGCGGACATTATAAGTCCGGCTGAATTAAAGTGAAACTCAAGGAGCTTGCCTTGAGTTTCACTTTTAAGTATAAGCCTTAAGTGCTTATACTTAAGAACAGAACCGGGTAGAGCGTATTTTTCACCCCGCATTGAACTCAGTTTGGACCGTTTCTCTCCCCCGCTCTGCGTTAGCTCCGCCATCTTTGTTCTGCGAACTGTGAAGTTTCCTGCTTCGCTTTGATTCTGTAGTATCACCGATCGGTTTCACGCAGCCTGACTGCAGAGGAAAAGATGAACGACAAGCCCCGACACGCAGGCGGACAGAAACAACATCACAACAGGCGGCCAGAAGACGTAGAGTGCATCAAAGTGACAGAAGCCTGAAGGCGTTTGGCAGGTGGAAGCAGAGCAGCAGCAGATTGAAAGCCGAGTCTACCTTGTAGGCGACCCGGGGAGGGCATTTCTTCCCCAGACCGAGCGGAGGAGACATGTCGCGAAGCATCTCGTACATGTCACTGTAACTTATGCGGCCGCTTCCAAGAGGGAAGGAGGGAGATTTCCATGGAGACGGATTGGCAGCAAATTAATAAAAATGGCAAAAAAAGAAAATAAATATGACAGAAAATGGGAATGGGGGGAAGGAGGAGAACACAGAAATCTTTGTTAATAAGATTTCCGGGATTTTTCTCCGGAATGCCATTGCAGCTGAATTGATTCATCCAATAATGGATCCCGGGAGAGAAAAGGAAGGATGGGAGGAACCTGGTGGGAGAAATGAGTCGGGTTGAAACTTTTAAATCTAAGGATTTAAAGGAAAACTCTTCTGGAATCACATTCTGAGTGGAAACCATTCACACCGTCCACGTTTTGTCACGTTACCTCAAACTTCAGCATTTCCTTCAGGGATTTCATGATGAACCAATTCATATGATTCATTTGTACAAAAGTAACCAAATGAGGGGAATACAAACTTTTTGTCAAACTGTATCAGTTTGGAAAAACTAAAACCACCAACAATAAACTAAGCATGAGCTATTTTAATGGAACAAATAATNCATTNTTGTAGATAATAAATTTCAAAAACTGTCCATTCACTGTAAAAACAAAATCAAATTCAACATTGAACATATTTTCAATTAAAAAAGACAAAACTAACTTAAACGTAACATTTAAGCAAGAAATATGAGCTTTTTTCAAGTCACTAATTCCTGAATAGTGATGAAAAAGAACAAGTTCCAGTAAGATATTATTTCACTTATGGTAAAAATATCTTGTTATAAATTAAATAATCTGTCAACTGATCTAGTACTTTTTCATCCATATCAAATAATTATTTACGGAAAACCTTTGAAAAGATGATGACTGTGTTGCATCTAACATTTTTGTAAGTAGATTTCAATTTAAATATTTTTGTCCTTATTTGTTAATTTCTAATTTCTTCTTGAATTTGTCACACAAAATCAGTCCAGAGTCCGCCACACTTTTCAGTTTTGCAAAGAATGATGAAAATCAGCTTCTGAACAAGGCAATTACCTGAAACTAAAGATTATAATCCTAGATTTATGTATATATCTATTATCTTTTTTTTTGCCTGAAGGAAAATAAAAGTTGAAAAGTTTCAAATTAGTGGAAAAGAAAAACAAAATGTAAACCAAACAAAAACAAGGAAATGAAGTCACTTTAAACTCCAACAGAGTGTTTCACTCAGGTTTTAGCAATAAAATCATAAAATAAAATAAATCTGAAGGTTTTGGTTTTTTAAAACAGGTGCAACGAGAAAATTTGGTGTTTTTCTTGAAAATGTTATAATTAAATACGTCAGATAAATTTGAACTTTTCAGATTCCAGATTCATAATCAGCTCATTGATTTTCAGAGGCGTGTTCCTTTAAGACTCCCTGCTGCCCCCGGTGGAAACATGGCAGGCGTGTTTTTGTTTCCGGCGCTGGTATCAGATCGCTGAGCGTCTGTAAACCGGTCCAGAACCAGCACAGCCTCTTCCTTTAAAACAAAGGGTCTGTGTGGGAGAGCAAACCTTGTAAGCCACCCTGTTGGGGCACTTCTTCCCCAGGCCCAGGGGAGGCGAGATTAAACGCAACAATTTGTACATGTCCCGATAGCAAATCCTCCCGCTGAAAAAGATGAAACACGATCAAGAGGTTAGAAAACAGGAGAACTCACAGCAGCAGCTTGGTTTCTCTGGTTAGATGGGGCTGTGTGAGGTAGCTATGAGTAGTCAGTATCTTCAGAGTGAGTAAAAATTAGATGTGTGTGACGTGGGACATATTTGGATGAGACAACTGAAGGAAGGATTTAATAAACTGTCAATTTCCTACTACTTTTCAAATTGGACATGAACGTTTTGTTTTTGTTGTTTTCGTCTTATTTTTTATCTGACATTTTGCATAAGATTTAATTTCATTCATTTGAGTTTGGAGAATTATTTAATTATGCTTTCTTTGAACCGGTTAGGATAGGTCTATGGCCTATACAAAACATTTTCATTACATTCTTTGCACAAAATCATTTTTAGACATTGAGATTTTAGCTAGCAAGATAACTTTTACGTTTAAACAAGATTAGTATCAAGTTATAACATGATAGCACTCAAAAAAAATTTTTCCTCCATGACGGCAATGTGCTTCCACAGTTTTAGGGTATCTTGTCAATTTATATCCAAATAAACGCCCCACAAACTCAACGTTTACCACTCCCATCTGAAAATGGCTGCCAACAGATGGACCATTACACCACCATACATCTTTGAAAAGCATAAGTAGAGCCTCCTCCACAACCAGCAAGAAAACAGCAAGTTCTTTCTGGATGGTTGCTATGGTGATTCCCACCATTTTTAGGAAGTTGGGGACTTTTTTCAAAAGGAAGAAAATCACAAATATAGATCTAAAAAGTAAAAACATCTTAAGGTGGAATATGCTAAACCTTCTCAGAGTTTTTTAGCTTTATTTTTTCTAATGATCACCTCCTACCTCAGCACTGAATTCACTGAGTTCTATGTGTTGTGGGTAAGATACTTACTGCTTATAGCTACTACTCACAACCGCACTTTAAACACAAAAAGTCTTTGTTTTGAAAGACTTTTTCAAAACAAATAGTGTAAATAGTGTAATAAAAACTTACCTCAGAAAGGTTCAAAATTAAAAACAGTTTAAAAAAACTTCTCATATAAATCTAAAGTAAATGTGTAAAAACCTGTTTTTTTAATAATTTCTGAAAACAGACATAATTTCACTCTTAACACTGCAAAACACACAAAATCTTACCAAGTATTTTTTATTGTTTCATTTCTAAGACAAAACGAACTTAGAAATAACTTTTCAGAACAATACAGGAGCTTGTTTTACGTAAAACAAGCTCCATTTTCATACTGATGAAAATGTTCTAGCTATAAGTGACATAATCTGCTGGTGGAACGAGAAGTTTTTCATCCACATTAAGGATTTATTTGCTTAAGACCAGCTCCGTTATTTTCCTGAAAAGTTCTTTTAGTCTTATTTTAAGTGTACTAAGATATTTGATCTAGAAACCAGACCAAAAACACTTGGTCAGATTTTGTGTTTTTGCAGTGCAGCAGGCTCATTCATATTCAGAGGAATAAATTATAATTCCTCCCCCATAATGTCTGTCAGGTGACGGCAAATCCTTATTTTACCTCTCTCACCTCTAACGGCGTCCTGATCAAAGAAAGGAAGCTTCGTTAGAACGTAATGAAGTGAGAATAATCTGAGACAGATTAGCCTTCCCGGTGCTCAGAATTAGCATTTCCGCTCCAGTCAGAGCGAGCCGCCTGGAAACGGACGGGCCTGACATAAACCTGCAGGAGTGACAGGAAGTCTCAGCAGCAGACGGCGGGGAAGCAGAGCCTGCCGGATTAGAGGCATGACGCGAAGCGGGGATGAGATTTCAGCTGAAGGTTTTCCTGTTCCCTTCAGCGGCAGACGTCCTGTGGAACGGCGCCGCGTCGTAGCGCAGCGGGAGGAACCTACCAGGCGGCGGGGTCGTACTCTGCCCACACGCGGATGAACTCGTCCAGGTGGTGCGGCCCGAGGATGGAGGCGTCTCGAGTTAGATACTCAAAGTTGTCCATGATGACGGCAACGAACAGATTCAACATCTGGGTGGAGAAAAAAAAAGACAAAATGAAGGAAATGAACATTTGACCTGCTTGGACCAGGTAGCTATAGTCTTTCTATACATGTAAGGCTGGGAGATTCATTTATTTGATCAATTAATTGAAGTTTTGTTTTTGAAAATAAGATTTTTTTTTTCCACCAATCCACTCCTTGGGTTTCCATACATTATTTTTGATTTTTAAGCCGTTTTTTAGGCCCAGTGGGGAAACTTGATACTTTTAGCAGGTTGTTGCTAGGCAACCAAAATTTGGGGAACTTCTTACTCAGCAGGTCGTTGCTAGGCAACCAAAGTTTGTGGAACTTCTTACTCAGCAGGTCGTTGCTAGGCAACCAAAGTTTGTGGAACTTCATACTCAGCAGGCCGTTGCTAGGCAACCAAAGAGCGAGTCGGTCAGTTGATTCCACCAACCTAGCTTAGCTAGCTGAAGTCTTTCCTCAGAATGCTGTGCGGTTTTGGATTGGAGTTCAGTGAATATTGAATATATTTAATATTCTATCAGTCATATTATTTATTGATATCGATCAGATTCTTCCATTTAAAACAAGAAAAATATCTTGTTACATTTGAAAAAAAATGATCCAGTGGAACTGGAGCTTTTTTAGTCAAAACTGAAGACTTAAAAAAATCTCATATTACTTGCTGAAAAGTTACTTTTAAGTCAGTTTTGTCTTATTTCAAATGTACTAATATATTTAAACTACAAACTAAACCAAAAATACTGGGTGCAATACTATGTAAACTCTGAGAAGAGCTTAGAAAATCATCTGATTTCCTGAGTTACTGACCAGGAAGGAGCAGAGGAAGATGAAGGACACGAAGTAGAAGTAGGCGAAATCGCTGCCGCACTCCTTCCCAGAACTTCCTGAGAGTTTATCACATGGCCGGTTACTGAGGCAGGCCAGCATGATCTCATGCCACGCCTCGCCTGTTGCACTCCTGATGACACACACAGCGAGCCAGCAGTCAAAATGGACGCCGCAGATCAAAGCGTCGGCGCTGAATCTCTGAGGTTACCTGAACAGGAGGGTCAGGGCCTGGAAGAAGGTCTGGAAGTTGTTGTGGTGATTTATGGAGGTTTCTTCGTTCAACTCGATGTTCCCGAACACCTGAGGACAGAAAACACAAACCAGGCTTCAGGGTAAAGCTGGGTTTTTATTCACCATAGAACTGAGCAACATGACACTTCCAGAAAAGATTTGCTCAATGGAAATGTACTAATTTAGAAAGAAATACATCTGGTGCATTGACCACACAGAAGCACTTAGATAAATCAGTCTCATCTCAGTTCTGTGAAAGCAACAGAAAATGCATCATTTCCTGGAGCTGGTTTTTGCTGACCTGCATCCCAATGATGGCGTAGATGAAGAACAACATGGCGATCAGCAGGCAGACATACGGCAGAGCCTGAAAACAAGCAGAGAAACATCTGAAATACCTTCATCTTCCAAACAGACGTCAAACAAATAAAAGTTTCTATTTCCTCTCCTTTCTTTCTAATCTCTCCAGCCCTCCTTTGTCAGAGTTTCTGCTCTTATGTAGGATCTGGAGACGATGAACTCGACCAGCAGGCTGATTCCTCTGACCGGCTATTTATCTCACTGCGAGGAGGAGGAGGCGGCGAACAGTTGTTGTAATTAAATCGCCACCTTTTAAGACTCTGCAGCTACTGTCTGTCTGTTGTTGCCGGGCTTAAAAGCTCTCAGCTCTGACATTAAACCTCCTATAAAGTCCCTGAGCTGCTGCACATATAACTCTGCTTCTCCCAGGGGGATTTAGCGAGCGAATCGGCGCTGTGTGGAAATCCCAACGGCTGTCCGCCGAGGCGACATTCAGCTGGAAGGAAGCAGCATCTATTTCCTGCGTTTGTTGAAGAGTGAAGCACACTCCATTAGAGTGGCTAATTAGCTGCATTCCCAGAGAAAAGTGCTTTTATCTTTTCTCTTAAACAATTATTCACTATTTGCTCATTAGCACATTACAGTCGCCCACAGATGCAACTGTGTGTTTTTACTGACCTTGAAGGACTGAACGAAGGTCCACAGCAGGATGCGGATGGTGTAGCCCTGACGCAGCAGCTTGATGAGGCGAGCGGCTCTGAACAGCCGCAGGAAACTCAGGTTTATCATCTTGTTCTGGAAGAAAGGAAAATATCTGTGAGGAGATAAATGAAGACAGCCTCAAACAGGAACCTTCACCGATCTACCAAAATTACTCCAAAAGTGCATTAGCAACTCATCCAGGAGGTCAGAAAAGTTTCCAGAACATCATCTGAAGCTCTGCAGAGCTTAATAGACTCAATAAACAGTGGAGAACCTACACAGGGATGGCCGTCCACCAAAATTACTCCAAAAGTGAATCAGCGACCCATCCAGGAGGTAATAACAGATACCAGAACAGCTAAAGCTCTGCAGGCATCACTTGGTTTAATTAACAGTGGAGAATTGGCAGCTCATCCAGGAGGTGTCAAAAAGATTCCCAGACAAAATCCTAAATTTCATAACATTTCAGGGGTGTTGGTAATTTACAACCATGACAAAAGAAACTTGAGTTGCTTTGGCAGCCCAAAAAAACAAAACCTGAGTAAATAATAATTTCATTTTAGGTGTTAAGATGCAGACAGTTAGCGCTGCTCACCGTTTCATCACTGTAATATCACAGACCCAGATCGTGCTATGAATCCTAACAGTCTTCTAACAGCAAAAGTTCAGCAGCTCAGCCTGAGAAACTAAAACATTCAACAAATGAGAGACATGAATTCCTCTGACTATAAAAGTATTCCTGATGTTTTCTTTCTTCAGTTTTTCTTCTGAGTGACCCGGTCTTAAGCCACTTGGTTGTAAATATTTTAAAACACAATCTTTTAGCAAGCTAGCACTGTGAGCTCACGTCACGACAAATAAACGGTTGTTTACAAGCATTGGACCACTAGAGGGCGCCTACAGTGTGAGAAAACCTGTTTTAAACCATCCAATAATTCATACCTGTAGATGTTCAGGCCTACCTGTTAATGTTCTGTAATTTGCATGATTAAAATATGTTTTTTCGTTTTTTGGGGGGGAAAAGGGCACCAACTCCGTCTCCAGCCCTGGGGCCCTCTATCTTCTAAATTCAGCCCTGTTTTCAGCCAGAATCCTTAAATTTTACCCTTCTAAAGATGGACTCAGTGTACATTTTCTATTTTCTTGTTCGACATTCGGTCTGTAAGTGCTCCAGACAGACTGGTTCCAGCTGAAGCTCTCGGTTTATCTTTTCTCTCATATCACGTCATGTCAGAGAAACAGCCGACGCTTTAAACTGAGACTGAACGGCGCACACACTGCCGGCGAAACTGAAACAAAAAAAGAAGAAGAAGAACCAGCAGGCGACAAGAAAAGCCACTTACCGTCTAGAGGTGTCAGATGTGACAGAGTGAGGCACCAGCAGACACAGCAGATGATGGAAACAGCCAAACAGAAATAAGAGAAGAAGCCAGAAAGGAGACAGAAAAGAAGACTGATGTCCTCAAGAGGAAGAAACACAGCGGCCGTTGACTCACGGGAAACCACATCGGCACCGTCTCAGTCCTCCAAATCAGATACATCTGATTATATTTGTAATATTTGTGCATTTTTTCATTGGAGCCATGTTCTAATTATGAAGATTTGAATGTTTCTCAATCAAACTGATTTAAGGACTGAGACGACGAGAATAAGACAAAGCATGGCCTCTACTGCTGCTCTGAGGGTGGACAAACAATGGAAAGCCCATTTTTATTAAATCTCTGCAAAGTTGTAGGTAATCCTGTTAAACAGGAAATCAAATTTATTGTGTTGAGCAAAATAATAAAACCACCACATAAAGGCTAATTTGATCTTTTTTTTACATTACTACATTGATTTAATGTGACTTTACACCAAAGTTTGTTAGTCGTCTGTTGGATGCAGAGGATATGCGACGCTGCACAAAGTGGCTGCAGGTCTTACATTTATCTCTGTGAACAAAATGTCTGTGATGCTCCCAATCACCGTCACAAAGTCAAACACGTTCCAGGGTTCCTTCAGGTAGTTCTGAAACAAAGTGGCACAAAAATAGACATTCATATCATTATCAATTCTCTGGAAAACACAAATTAGATGCTGTGAGGATCAAAAACACAAACAAGTAACAATTCTTCTACTAATTGATTAATCGATTGTTCTGACGATTAATCGATTAACCAAGAATTTTTATACACTGTTAGAAATATATTAAAAGATGCAAATAAACAATCTAATTCATTTTTTTAAATAAAAAAATAAACATTTTATTGCCTAGAATGCTATACTGAGGTATTAATTAAGTAAATCTGAACCGGGTGAGATTAAAATATGCAACTAGGAGTTTTAAATACAAAAGTATTTTTGATTTAAATAGAAACTGTATTTTTGTACAATTTTGGGTTAATTACTGCTCTGAATATTTAGTTTTATTGACCAAATTACCTCTTTTTAGAAGTCTGTATAATATATTTAACAATTCATCAATTACTAAATTAGTTGACGATTATTTCAATAATCGATTAATCACGATTAATCGTTTCAGCCATGAATATAATTGAATATTTGTGGACTTTAGCTGAAATCTGGATTTTGTCCAACCAACTTAAGTAAACATTACAGATTTTCTAAAGCCTGGTGGTCAAATATTCTGCAGATTGATACCAGAAACTTGCTGATAGCTACAAAACAATATGATTGAGGTACAATGCCATAGGGGACATTTAATTACATATTAGTGGGGATGTATGTGTGTATTTCAGCCTCTGTGTGTAATTTTGACTATTTAAGCATGAAGATAAACTTATTAGACTCAAAACTGCAACAGAAACTGGTCTGTATACTCCAGATAACGATTAATCGGTTATTAAATTAAGTGACGATTATTTGAATAATCAGATTAATCTGATTGTTTCAAGAAATAAACATTTACACAAACTGACCACATACTGACAGAACATAAATCATGAGGTTCTGTCTGGACCCTGAACACCGTCAGACGGGTCCGTCTTCGGGAGTCTGAGGCCAGGTTTCTGCCAGGAACCCACAGCTGTTTTCTTTGAGCCGCTACAGCAGCAAAGCGTTTAAAAAAGGCAGATGTGAGCTTAGCAGCTAAACAGGTGGAGGTAAATGGTGTGTGAGAAAAGCTATTTAATAAATGGGCCTTGTAAATGGAACTGAGCTGCAGGTGAAACGCGTCACTGCAGACCAGGCGGCTTCATGTCAAGAGAAGATTTATGCTCCTTCCTCAAAGTTCATTCCTGAACTGAAAATGAAAAACAATTTCAGCATCTTATGCAGTCTGGGTTGCATTGGATATTGACATTTTAACAGTATTGATCATTGCACATGTAAAGAAACCTTTTATTGCTCCATCTTAAAAACAGAGGCAGTACAAAGCTGGACGTTTAACAAAGTCAAGCTAAAAGCTACAGAAGGCTAAAGCTAATTATTATCCAGAGTTGAGTCTAGAGCAAGTCAAACAATCAAAACTAAAGCTAGACATCAATCGATTAAATTCCCCCAGACTGAACATGAAAATAGGATCCTATGCTGCTACAACTCATAGGCACAAGTGAGAGCGTTGCGAAACACAAATAATCACCCGGCCGAACACGGCGTGTTAATTAATAAAACACAATTTAACAAAGGTTTGAGGCAGATATTTTGTCTTAAAGAATTGCTTTAAGGCTCTAGTGGCCTTTATTTGAAAGGAAGGTAGGGTATTGAGAGAGAGGGAGGACATGCAGCAACGATCACCAGGCCGGGAATCGAACCTGCGTCAGCCACGTCGAGGTCTAAGGCCTCCTTATGTGGGTTGTGTTTGTCCCCACAGCAACCGCCTCAAAGAATTTTAATAATCACGGTTGTGGAATCATTCTAGGAGTCGTTACAGCCCTAAAACAGTTACTTGTAGTCAAGCTAAAAGCTAACAGCTGACCATAATCAGAATAGGCTAACCAATAATTAGAACATAGCTAACAAGTTAGTCATAGTTGAGCTAACAGTTAGCTCCTTATGGTGTGTTCAACTGGAACCCCAAAAATGTTCAAACTCTAGAAAATATCTGGGATTAATATTTTTTTTCCCCTACAGTGACCATAATACGCCGTCATTCAGTCTCAGCACCACATTACTCCTCAACATAAAAACCCCGGAACAGAGAGCGAGAGTTTAGAGTGCAGAAGATTATCTTCAACAGCTCACCAGTGGATTGAAAGCAATAATCTTGAGGATGCACTCTAGTGTGAAGAGACCAGTGAAGACGATGTTGAGGTATTTCAGCATAGACTCGTACACCATTGGAGCTCCGTAGAACTGAGGACAAAAAGAGGAAACAGGATCTGAATATTACAGCAGACTGCATAACAATCTGAACCTGAAGGAGGAAATGCAGCTGGCAGCCATTCAATTACTCACATTACAAGCTTTATGTTTGGTGAAAATGCCTCAGTTACACTTTAACCCTCTAAAATATCTGTGTGGGCTGCGTGTGATGATTACGACATGAAGCTCTACCATTATACTAAATGGTTCTGTTGTGTTGGGTTGGCTGGAGCAGCATGATGTCATACCCCCCATCTTCCTGCTAGAGGACAAACAGCTGCTAGCTGGCAGTGGCTAGCTGGTTGTAGCTGTTAACATAATGTACTAAATCTTAAATGTACATTTGATATGTAAAAGAAAAAGGGACACAGTGCTTTGCTACTAATTGTCAACACTACGACGACTAGATAAAGTCAGGAAAAAGTTTTAATTAAGAAAAAAATAGCAAGGGAGAGGCAAGTATGTAAGTTTTGCTAGCTTGACTATGACAACCATAACATGTAGATGTGCTGTGGAATTTGGTGTGTTGACCTAAACACCAACTCTGACACATCATCAGTAGAGCAGCGGTTTAAATTAGCTAACCAACCACCGCAGTGTTAGCTTAGCTAATAGCAGCGGAAGCTAATCCACAACTGTGATCACTTATTAATAATCACAGAATAAAAGTCACAGTTTAATGATAAAAACATTAAACTATGACAGACTGAATGTTCTGTTCTTTGTTTGTAATTGTTTTTTGGTGTTGAATCCTGAAACATAAAGTAGCGTTGTTGTCAGTTACTACGGCAACGAGTCTGCTTGTAGCATAGCCGACATGGAGAGTGAGAAAAAAGTGGTTTTATTGTTTTGGGTTTTTTTCTGCGTTATTTTTTTCCCCTTTGCTGAGGCGCACTGCATTAATAATACCAACATCTCCAGGTTTCATTTAGTGAACGGAGTTGTTCTACCGCCTGATCAAGGCAATACAGAAGCACGGGAATAACAAGTTGTTTTTAGACAAACTTCCTCCTTAACATATTAGATGCAAGCCTGAGGTTTAAAAAAAAATAAGTTTCCAAGAGTGAGATTTGACCTTCATCATCAGGACGACGGTGTTGAGGGCGATTAAAGTCATGATGGCGTACTCGAAAGGTGACGACACCACGAACTTCCACATCTTGTACTGGAAGGACTGCTTGTTCTCCGGCATGTATCGTGTTAGCGGCCTGGCGTTGATGGCGAAGTCGATACAGGCCCTCTGTGGGGAAGACAAGCAACAACTGACTGGGTGGAAATATTCTCTGGTGGAAAAAAACGTTTGGAGATTTTTAAAGTCAACGTCAGTGACGGGCACTGCTAACTAAAAAGTTAGCTAGCTTTGCTAGCACTAAAGCATCAGTCATCAACATTTGTTCTGCTAACGATAAAGCGCTACTTTCATGTATATAGTATTAACTTCAACAGGGTCAAACATGTTATTGCACACCTAGCTGTAGAGTGTCACTTCAGATATTATAATATAGCTGTTAGTATTGCTAAATCCGTTGCTGATTTTGCTAATTGCTCATTTTACTGTAGCAGCAGCATTGCATTCTGGGTACAGAACAAGTGTAACTTGTTTCACCACATCACATGTGGAGAATGTAAGGAGGCAATAAAAAAAACACATGTTGAACTTTATTAAGCTGAAAGTTTATAAAACAACCAAGTAAATTATCACTTCAGAGAAATTAATCTGGAGGAAGCTAAAAAAGTTAGCTAAAATTCTACAGCACTAACCGAAATACTAGCTCTACTCTTAGCATAAGTGAAGAATGTAAATAGAAAGCATTCCTGTTCTCATTTTAACGGCGTCTTCTGTCAGCCATTTTGTAGAAATAAACTGTAGTTTTGGCAGATAAAGCCAGGAGCTTCACCTCGTTCTTCTCCAGGCTGCACTCTGACATCGCTTTGTCTCCCTGCTCCTGGAAGGTGATGATGATCAGAGCTACAAAAATGTTGACGAAGAAGAACGGAAACACCACGAAGTAGACCACGTAGAAGATGGACGTCTCCATGCGGAAGCCCGGGCTGGGGCCCTGGTCTTCGTACGTGGCGTCCACAGAGTGCTTCAGGACCCTGGGAAGAGAAACTCTGGAGATTATCAAACACTCAGAGATAAAACGCTTTGTTACGACGCATTTGTAGAGATTAAAACGCTTCCTCTGCTCTGCTTCCTTCAGCTTTTACTCAGCTCTGCCCGATATACTCCAATAACTTTAATCTGGTGAGACGATGAAAATGAAATGCTGGAAACGCAGCACTGAGATAATCATCTGCCTTTGTCACTAAATATATAACCGCCCACCAAAGAGCGTATTTGTAGAAATAGATCAGAGCAAATTATTTTCTTATCTTCTAAAGTGGTTTTTCTGGCTCTCTGAAACTCTTTCCAAGTTTTCATTTGGACATTGTTTTCAAAGGTTTTCTTATTTTTTTATTTCCATGAGTCATCCATGTGCTCCAAGAATACAACTTAAAGAAGAGATATTAGCTGTATTTTTAATACAAATGGATGCAAAATGTTGTTGATATTCCACTAATGTTGAAAAAATATCATTTTCCAGTTGTGGTGTTTCCATTAAATAAGAAATTAAATACAAATCACATGTGAATAAGTTTGTTCATGTGATAACTCATTAAAAATAAGCAGCACCATCATCCTCCAGCTACTTCCTGTTGTCTTCTTTGTCATTTCTGCTAGTAGTAACATCCTGTTATTGATCATGTGACTCAGTAATGAGAAAAAGTGTTCCCAGTGCAGTTTTGTGAAAAAAATAATTCTGATGCAGCTGAAAAAAACACTGCATAAACATGAGTTTTTTCTAAATTGGAGTGATTTCATTAATCATATTTATTTTTGTGATTTCAATTTGTGTAATTTTAAAGTGTATGGAAACGCAGCTGCAGTAAATAAAACAGCCAACAAAGGTGGAAACAAATCTTCACACAAAATCTTACCAAGTATTTTTGTCTAGTTTCTAATGCAAATATGTTGGTACACTTGAAATCAGAAGAAGACTAACAATTAACTTTTCAACAAGAAACAGGAGCTTGTTTTAAGTAAATAATTTCTTAATATTGATGAAAAACTGCTAGTTCCTCTGGCAAATTATTTCACTTACCACATGGGGAAAATATCTTGCTATAATTGAAATAACCTGCTTTGGAACTAGAACTTTCCATCAATATTAAGGGATTATTGATGTTAAACAAGCTCCTATTTCTTGTTGAAAAGTTGAAGTTAGTTCTGTCTTATTTAAAGCAAACTAAGACATTTGCACCAGAAACTAAACCAAAATACTTGAATGATTCAACGTAAAGCCGCTTGGATCAGAGGTTTCTGCAGGACTTTAGCGTGTAAAACGAAATGATCTGACTCATTATTCTCAGATTACAGGTGTCTGCAGAGAGGCGGCGTGGGCTCCAATCCTCCTCCTGCGAGTATTTAGCAGCTTCTACAGGAATCTTTTCTGTTTTTATCATGATCTGCTCGTTTCCCATAAGCTGCTGTATAATTACCTGCTGCTTGTGAAGCTCTTGTAACAGGAACAGCAGATATGAAGATGGAGAAACAGACATTTTTGTCACGTGTCAGTTTTCTGCCTCACGTTGCATTTTGTTTGTAGGTTAAACTTTAATTTAGATCTCATCTGACCAAAGGTCCTTTAATTATTTACTAGATTAGATAGATGTCATTATTTTGTGTTGGTCTACCACATAAAATCCCATTAAAATACATTAAAGGACTATAAGTACTTCATATTTTTTGGTAAACCCATCTGACCAAACGTCCTGGAATTCCACTGGGGTTGCTAGGCAATGAGCGGAATTCTTGCTGGGGTTGCTAAGCAATGAGCGGAACTCTGCTGGGGTTGCTAGGTAATGAACGAAACTCTGCTGGGGTTGCTAGGTAACAGGGAGTGCCTGCTGATTTGTGAGGTTACATTCCGGAGGTTTTTGAAACGACCCATTTAACAGACACCAAAATACACGAAGTTAATGCCAAAAACTCTGGGAATTTTTTTTTTTTTTAAACACTTGGGATGTTCTTAGAAGCTTTGGAGACCCAAATGAAGGAACAAAAACATGTAAAATGTGAATTTTTGATTAGTAGGTCCCCTTTAGTAACATGTTTTAATGACTTACAGTGGCCAGCCCTCTCCGGTGGAGACGGTGAACAGCGTCAGGAAAGCCCAGAGAACATTATCGTAGTGAAACTCGTACTTCTTCCACTCTCTGGGCTGAGCCGTCACTTCCTCACGATCGTACTCCAGAAACTGACCTCTGCAAGGAAGGAGAGCGGATAACAGAAACTAAATAACACAAGTAAATCAACAGGTAGCTGTGGGGGGATGTGTTCTGCTAACTGTACCTGCAGTCTTTCTCCAGACCTTTGGACTCGTCGGTGCAGTAGAAGAATTTGCCTTTGAAGAGCTGAACAGCGATAACAGCAAAGATGAACATGAAGAGGATGTAGACGATGAGGATGTTCAGGACGTTCTTCAGAGAGTTCACAACACAGTCGAACACAGCCTGAAAACGACACAGACAAAAACAGGCAGTCAGGAATGAGCGAGCAGCAGCACAACGCTAGCAGGATGCTACACAAGAGTTTAGCTAACAGAGCTAACAGAGATTCAGGAACATCTAGTTATAGCGAGAAACTTTCATGTTTTATTGAGATATAAAAATACCAAGATGTTGTACTCTTACATCATTTCCTATTTAAAGACAGAACGTCTTTCAGTTTTAATGTTTTTTTTTTTTTATTGTTCGGTTTTCAGAGATTGTGTTTATGTTGCTTCACTGTTGCTTTAATTTGCCCTTCAGCAACAAATAAGATTTATTAACTCGAATAAGTATTACTATAATATACTTACCTTATTTTGTACACAAACGAATGTGTTATCTCTCAACCCAATCAGTATATAATAAAATATACTTGTCAGATGATAGTTATTCAGAGACAATCCCAACAGTCATACGATACAAGATAGCAAAGATAAATTAGCTAACTAGATAGCCAACAGGGATTAACTAGCTAGTTAATTTAGATTAGCTAGATAACTAGCTAACTTATATTAACTATATGACTAGCTAGCTAAGTAGGTAGGTAGTTGGTTGGTTGGTTGGTTGGTTGGTTGGTTGGACAGATAAAAAGTTAGCTAGCTGGACATCTCTCTCTCTAGATAGCTGGCTAACAATCACTAGAGTTCACACTGGGAACAGGAAGGTTTGTGTTCCTGTGTTTTCCTCTTTCAGATTTCTGTCTGTCTGCTCCACCATCATGTCTGCATTCAGGATGAAGAGTTTTGTTGATCTGTCCTGACATGCAATCCAACCAATGAACCTGCTGCTGCATGAGTGATGTTCATCAGGAGCATATTCTTCCTCTCCTCCACCAGCAGCGCTCCGTCCAAGCCTCCGCAGAGAGATGGAGACGGCCGGCTGGCTGCCAACACCCATCTGTCTCACTCCTTCACTTCTATCACTCCTCTGAGAGGCTTTGCTTTGGGACGATCAGCAAAGGGAGACTGTCATTTATCCATCTGGAGAAAATAAAGGCTTGTCTTGTTAAAAATCGTCTTTCTGTGCTGCTGCTGTTGATTGACGTTGGCCAAACTTTAGCCTGATTGGTTGAGAAATACTTAATTCATAAAATATTTGGAGAGAAATTTTCAATTAAACATTACAGATAAAGTCTTAAGACATTTTAGTGTTACTACACTGCAAAATCAAAACTATCCTCCATCTACTTCCTGTTGTCTTCTTTGTTGTTTCTGCCAGTAGTAACGTATTAAAAAAAAAAAAAGAAAATATTAATTTCTGAGAGAAAAAAAAACATCCAAATTTGGAAGGAAGAAAGTCAGAATTTTAAAATTTTTGTTAGACTTTAGCCATTAATATTAGAAAAGTTAGCTAGCTAGACATTTTATTTGTATGAATAAAATTTGAAATTGTAAGATTAAAATGAGAATTCAGAAAAAATACTGAAATTCTGAAAAAAAAGAAGCCAAAATTCTAAGATTAACTTTTGGTATTAAAGTCCAAATTATGAAAAAACAAATTAGTAATTTCTTATCAATATTAAGGAATTTTTTAATTAAACAAGATCTTATATTTTGCTGAAAAATTACTTATTTTAGTTTCACCTTATTTAAAGTGTAGTAAAATATCTGTTCTAAAAACCAAACCAAAAAGGTTTTTGTTTTTGCAGTGAATGGCTGTTTTACTTGGATGAAACTCAGTAACAGCTTTACTTTTTAGAAATCCTTAAAATTATTTTTGTTGTATAAAAATGAAACTAATGTTTTTAATGGGTTATTTGATCGTCTTCCTACAGAACCGCTGAGCTTTAACTCGCCTCAGGTCTCCATGTGAATCTGTCCAGAACCAAATGCTCAGAGTTTTTCTGTGAAAGTCGGACTTTTTCAGGCTGCGTCGCTGTACCTTCAGCTTCGGCAGCCGCTTGATGGTCTTCAGAGGTCGCAGAACTCGCAGCACACGCAGGGATTTGATGGTGTTGATGTCTTTCCCCTTCGTTCCTCTGTGAGGAGTGAAAACGCCGTTAGTTTGGGAGAAACGCTGCGATGCACTCTAGTTTAAACTTTCTCCAGTTCAGCAGGTAAACTGATCAGAGCTGTTAGCATTCGGTTAGTGGAGAACATGCAGTTCGGTGGATTATCTAACTGTACGGAGTTACAATTGTGTCTATTCTTTGCTCCTATGTTATGCTTCATCCTTCTTTTCTATTACTTACATTGATTTTACCGCAAGATTATGGAAAAGGATTATGGTCAATGACAAAAAAAACAAGTTTTTTCTCAGATTTTAAGATGGATTTGTAAAATTAAAGCGAGGCAGAATTCAGGAGAAAAGAAGAAGCATAGGTTCAGAAAAAAAAGTCAAAATTTTGAGACTAACTTCAAAATTCAAAACATTAAAAAGTTGAAATTATGAGGAAAAAAGATAAATTTCTGGGAGAAAAAGTCAGAATTCTGAGATTGAAATTGGAATTATGAAAGAATAGTCATAATTCTAATTAAAAATGTCAGAAATCTGACATTAAAGTCAGAATTCTCACATTTATGTTAGACTTTTGCTAATAAAGTCTTTCCTCATAATTTTGACTTATGAGGAAAAGTAAAAAATCTTGCAATTAAAATTGGAATATGAGAAAAAAAACCTTCAAAATTCTCAGAAAGTCAAAATTCTGAAGAAAAAAGTTAGAATTCTGAAATTTATATCTAAAAAGGTCAAAAGTTTGCAGTTAACATCTGAATTGTATGATTAAAGTCGAATTTCTGACAAAAAATTTTCTGAGATTATTGTCAAAATCATGAGATTAAAGTCAGAATTCAGATTAAAAAAAAATAATTCTGAGATTTCAGTAAAAACTGAGAAAAAAAATTCTGTTTATTGTGGCACTAATCTTCTTCCATAGCAGAGGGCCGAGGACATGAAGTAATTATTTGGAACAATCTGGAACACGAGTCAAACACTGTGGGAGTTTTCTCCACTTAATTAATGGAGATCAAATTGTTTGTATTATAAATATGTAGTAACCGAAATGCAGCATAGAAACACAGGAAACAGACTTCCATAGAAAAGGGAAATAGACACTGAGCAACTATCAAACACTGAATGTTTATCAGTGTTTGCAAAGACAAACATGCAATAAAAATGTACATCTCTAAATATAAGGAGTATCAGAGCAGATGCTGCCTTTATTTTATATGCTTGACTGAATCCAGCCCTAAGGAGCGCTAACGTGTTAGCATCTGCTCACCAGAAAACCAACAAAAATTCAGTATATTTAGATTTTCATCCTTTTTTACCATGACTACCATTAAAAAAGAGAAAAACAAGTTTTAGTCATTTCCATATAAAACAACGTTAAACCTGAGTTTGTTTTTTGGTAAAAAGTGCTAAACTCCAAACATTGTGACTTTGGGAGTTTTACAGTAAAACGTCATGCAGCTGTCATGCATCATGCCGTCTCTGTGGTTTCTGTTCCCGTGTTTAAATGGTCGGACAGTCGAGTAGATTTCACAGGCTGAAGATGCTGCAGGTTTTCAGGCTCCTTCTCCACTTTATCTCATTTTTAAGAGCTCAACATTTTATTTTACAATATAAAGAATAAGATAGTCGACAGACATCGAGTGAAAAAGCAGCCAAACCAAAAAATCCCATCAAAATGAATGGAGAACTGCAGATTTAGAGCATTTCAGAGGATCAGAAGAACATTTTCTACTATGCTGTTGTATTTTTTGGTTAAATACAAACTGAAATCAAAATCTGAAGCAATTTGAAACAAAAACTGCTCTTTAAAGCTTTATTTCTAAAAAATAGTCATGAATTTGTATATTTCTAGTAAAATATAAGGCCGTCTACGGCCTGTTTAAGTAGAATAAGAGGCTGGCTCTCTGTTAAAGGGGTAAAAGGCTTTAATCTCCTTCAGTTGACCTGATAAATCTTCTTCAACTGTGATTTTAGGAGTTTAGAGCTGGATAAAGACCAGCGCTGATGGATCAGACTGATTTAAAGGAACACTGTTCACAGCAGATTCAGCTTCTGAAATCTATTTCATGGCGTTCCCAATATTGTCTCCATAACTTTAGTTTGTCAATATTGGCTCAGGAGGATAAAAACGAGCAAAAACACAGAATATTACCAAGGACTTCTGTTTAGTTTCTCCTGGAGATACCTCAGCACACTTGAATTAAAACTATCACTGGACGATAATCGTTCCATACCTGTCGATATCAATAATTATTGATAAGTTTTTTGTTTTAAGTATCAGAAATGTTTATTTTTAAGCAGTTATGAGGCGCAGTGGGGAAACTTGAAACTGCTGCTGTGTCAGTTACTCAGCAGGTCGTTGCTAGGCAACCAAAGAGCGAGTGAGTCAGTTGATTGCACCAACCTAGCCTTAAATTAAATTATCAGATTAAAATGAAAATTATGCAATAAAAGCAGGAACTGAGTTAATTAAGTCAGAATTAATTTTTACTTAACTCAGATTAAGTCAAAATCATGAGGAAAAAAGTCAGAAATCTGAGATTAATAAATGGCAAAACTGTCTTGTTATAAGTGGAATAATCTGCCAGTGGAGCTAGTAATCTTTAATCAATATTGATAAATTACTGATTTAAAACAAACTATACATCTTGGTGAAAATCTATGGCATATTTCAAGTGTACCAAGACATTTACAGCAGTAATTAGAGCAAAGGTTCTTGGTAAGGTTGAGTTGTTTTGCAGGTTGAGGTTTGGTCTCAATACAGGCACCTTCAGGACTGTTAGCAGGTTGGGAATGGGAATGTTGGGAGTGTTTTCCAGGAAATATGCTTTCAAAATGGGATTGGGTGAAAATAGGGGCAGTTCCCACCTGGCCACACTTTGTTGTGATCTGATGAGGAAAAGAAACGATAAGCAGGCAGACAGCACAGAGAAATCACCAGCATAGAGCTCAGCAAACACTTAAAGCACAGATTAAACAGACATGAAGACTTTATTTAACCCTACAGACTGAAAAGACGCTAAAGAAGAGCGCTTGTTGAAATTAAACTCAAAAGAATTACAGAAAAAGCAACAGACAGGTTTAATAAACTCTAAATTGAAGAACTGCATTGAGAGTAAATCAAATTTATAAGCCAAGGTCGAATAAAAGACACTGATGATGATGATCATTTCACATTGCAAGGGCATTAAATCTTCATTTTCATTACTTTTATCGTCTCTCATTTCTTTTTAGAGCCTTTTCCAGCTTCATGCAGACGGTGTAAGTCTCTAAGGAAGCAGAAACCTCCAATCAGATTCATCCTCCATGTTGGAGGGATAACAGCTAAAAACAACAATAAAACACAAATCTGGCTGATTTGAATAGAAAAATATTTACATGAAAACATGTTGAGTTTGGGTTCATCCATGAGAACCCAGTCACAGTAATGACTGTTAATGATTAGGGTGAAGTTATTATTTTTATTAAGTGTTTTATTAAGTGTTTTCCAGTTGAAAAAACCATCAGATAAAAGGGAAAGTAAATAAAACATTCTTCAGGATTTTTAAGTTTATTATTCACAGAGTTCAACACTGATCTAAAGAAAATGTTTTCATTTTTTCCAGTATTTTTCTGAGGAATATTTGGGGGAAACTCTCCATTTCTCAGAGTTTAAATACTGACGGATAAAAGCTGATGAGCTGATGGACCTGCTGACGTCTCTGCTGTCAGGACTGATGGGAACATTTAACCCTTGCATTGTGAACGCAGTCAATCTGACGGCTCCATGTGACTGATGTAGGAGAGACAAAATGATGAACCAAACTGAGCAGGAGACGAGCGGAAAAACAGAAAATAATCTCACTAATCTGTGAAAAACTAGAAAACAATGGAAATCTGGTAAAAATGTGAGTTTGGGTCAAACAACATTCACTCTGTTCATTATCAGTTTAAATAGATGTTCATTATCAGTTTAAATAGATGTTCATTATCAGTTTAAATAGATGTTTATTATCAGTTTAAATAGATGTTTATTATCAGTTTAAATAGATGTTTATTAGCAGTTTAAATAGATTATTCCCAGATGTGTGGAAGTCGTGGACTGAAGCAGATTCAAATCATTCTCACAATATTTTGGTCGAATCTTAAACCATCGATTCGCCAGAGGATCTTAAAGCAGGTAGTTACAGTTACACAACCTGAGCTTATGTAAGGAAAACAGAGTAAATGCCAGTTTGTTCAATCATGACTGATGATAATGACAAAATGTGACATTTGCTGGAGACATTTAGCTGCGAGACGAAGGCTGTAAACTGGAGCGACACGGGGCTGATGGACGTGAAGGGAGGGACACAGACGGAGACAAAGAGCAGGCCGTGTTACCCCATGAGGCTCCTGAGAGCGAGGCGAGCAGGAGACGAAGACAGAAGAGGACAAAGTGGCAGAGCAGCAACAGAGCAGCAGCAATAAGACAGAAAAACCAGGGGAAACGTCACAGAGCAGAAATTTACTGATACGCCTCGTAATATCTCAGAAATTAAGCTTTTAGTTGTTCGTACACAACGATATGCTTCACTGCGAGTGAAAAAGACAAAAAACTTTAAGGTTTAGTTTTACAGAGAACTGATATAAACTGGAAAAAATCAAAGTTTAACCTGAGTTCATGCATTCAGGAGGGGAAACGCTCAGAAAATAAAAGATTTTAAGCAAAAGAAATGACAAAAACAAAATCTTACCAAGTGTTTTTAGTGTAGTTTCTAATTTAAGTGTCTTATTACCCTTCATATGAGACAAAACTAACTTATAAGTTCATTTTCTGCTTGTTTTAAATCCCTAATGAAAGAGAAAAGGTTCCACTGACAGATTATTTCACTTAAAACATTTTCTGATGTAATAAAGAAAATAATCTGAAAGTGTAGTAAGATATTTTCTCTAGAAACCAGACAAAAATACTTGGTAAGATTTTGTGTTTTCACAGTGAAATCTGCTGTTAACCCTTTACACACCAACAAGAGAAAAGCACTTCAGTTTATTTGTATTGCAGTTCAAATGAATTTACATCATAAAGAAATAAACATTAAATTCTGTAATATCAGATTTTAATCAATTCTCCAGTTAAAGGAAATTCAACAGTCTGGAGCAACAGCAGATTTTAATGTGTTTTATTTCTAATTTATTCAGTGATTTATAGATTATAAGTATTTTAAAACGGTTCCATCAGTGAATTTGCCAACTGAATATATTATCTTCAATCAAAGTTCAGATTTTCCAGTTTAAGACAGAAAAAAAGGCAATTTTATGATTAATTACTTTTCCTTTTCATGGTCTCCCAATAAATGTCCAGACAAATGGACCTTTTACTTCTGCAAAATGTCTGTGAAAAACTGTGAAGCAATTATCCGACATTGTGTTGGGGATTGACTGCAAAGCTGCAATTATCTGGCAAACGAAGCTTTAAAAGAGCCATAAAGTCCCTCTGACCTTCATCTGGATGCAGAGCAGAAAAGACAAATCTGACCAACAGCCTCCAGGTGAGGGGTTAGGGTTACCCTCACAGAGCAGCTAAAACCGTTTCAGTGAATTCAAAAGCATCAAACAGGAAGTGATGAAAGCGACTTACGAGCAGGCGAAGGCCACCAAGGCGCCGCTGACCACGATGAAGTCCAGGATGTTCCAAAGGTCACGGAAGTACGAGCCGGGGTGGAGGAGCAGGCCCAGGTCGATCATCTGGGGTCAGAGGTCAAACACCACGAGGAAACAACGACAAGCAAGGGCATTAGGTAAAAAAAATAATAATAGAGTAAAAATGAGAGAAAACAACAGAAAGGTAAAAACACTTTAACCTGCTGTTGGATCAAAACTCCATTCAGAGCTGAACAATAAATCAATGATTAATCGTATAGATGATCCGTCTGATAGAACCGGGGCTCCCCAGAGAGCATTAACCTTTGACCCCGTTAGCAAACCCACATATCTACACAATAAGTAAAAAACATGAAGGTTTTTATTCACCATTCAATAATTATTACATTCATTTATTATAAATGCTGCTTCATACTGTCTGCTGTGGAAATTTATTTTTATCAGATATTATGACATTATTACCAGATAATACACATTTTTCATCACAATCCTCTCTTGATTAGAGGAATATATATGTATGTAATATTTGGTATTAATCACATAAAATGTTTAGTTTATTTCTGTTCTTATTTTGTTTTTGCAGCAGTTCTTTGGTCTTTTTCTTGTCAGAAACTTTTTAGTTTCTTGTTTCCTAAACAGCCAATCAGAAAATGAGCATCAGAAATAAGATTTAAATAAATTATTTTTACTAATATTTTATAAAAACATGATCAAATATATTATATTGAGCTTATATTTAACTAAAATATAAGCTTAACTTCTCATGACCAGCTAGGCGAGGTTGGTGGAATCAACTGACTCTCTCACTCTTTGGTTGCCTAGCAACGACCTGCTGGGTTGCCTAGCAACAACCATGTGAGTAACTGCAACAGCAACAGTTTCAAGTTTCCCCACTGCACCTCAAAACTGCTTAAAAATAAAAAATAACGCTGTGAAGAGAAAATTGGATAAAATTTAATATGTCAGATATTCAAAACAAAAAAATATCAATAATGATCGATATCGACTGATATGAAACACTTACATGTGATACGTTTTTCATCCATAACGTCCAGCCTTAACACCATTTTAATTTATTTTTTTATCTGGATTCTATTTAAGGTTTTTAGGGTAAAGATGTTTGGATTCGTTCTACAATAATCAAATAAAACTCCATTCAAATAAACTGAGGTTTGTGGACGCCGCTTAACGTGTTTATTAACAGTTATTACTTCTTCTCACCTTTATCACCATCTCAAACGTGAAGACTCCAGTAAAGACATAGTCCAGGTACTTCAGAGCCTGAAAACACAGTAAACATTTCAGAAGGTTCCCCTGCATCCTGCCAGCTCTCTGTTTGCTCTGCACTCTTCTTCTCAAACACACCAAACACGAACACACACCTCCACCTCGGTTTGTCTCTGTGGCCCTGACTGAGATGCTAATTAGCTGTGCTTGTCTGTCAGACAGGAGGAGCTCAGGCCACTTGTCTGCATGCATCTGTTCCCAACGCGGCTCGCGTGTCACACGAGGGAATCAAGGGTTGACTGAACTGGATGTGTGCCACTCCGTCTTTGTTTCAGCGGCTCGGTGAGTCCAGGCCACACGGCTGCACCTACTACACTTTAGCAAAGCGTCTTAGTTTTGCTTTTCCTTCCCTGACAGTGGAGTCCGAATGAATCAGCTGGAGTGGAGATATTTATGCATTCGCTCGCATCACCGCGCACATTTTCATGCAAATACTGGTCGCCCCAGATGTTTATCTCTGACTCACGATGTTGCGGTCGGCGTTGGCCTCCACCGGGTCCTCGGCGGCCAGCGTGATGCTGCTCATGGTGATGACAATCAGGATGCACATCTCAAAGTAGCGCAGGTTGACCACGTAGTGACACAGGCGCCGCACCCTGCAACACCAACCGCACAGGAACTGAGAGGAGCTGCTGCTGCCAGCCACACACACACTTCAGTCTATGGTTCTGGCCTGGTTTAGGGAACAGAACCGTCCGGACCAGCCCGACCCACTGCAGACGAGGAAATAACCGACTTCAAACGTCTCTGGTAGAAAGTTTTTACTTTCTGTCTAAAGTCATTATTCTGGTCCAGTTTTCTTTACAGAACTGTTTTTAATTCAGATGCGCTGGATAGTTGTGGATTATGAACTACGGTGGTCCAGAAGGGCCAAATAAATGGAAAAGCAACAGAGGAAGTTGTGCTGAAATAAAAGTAAGTTATGATAAACCTGCTAGCATAGCTTCCATTTTAGCAAAACGTTTTGACTGTTGTGACTTTTCCTTTTGTGTTACTTAATGCTTCTGTTTTGTACTTTTTGTTGTTGTGTTGTAGTTTTTAAATATTCTGTTGTAGCTTTTGACTGTTGTGTTTTTTGTTTTGTAGCTATTTTACTGTTAGTTTGTAGATTTTAGTTGCTTAGCTTTTGACTTTTTCTGTTTTCTCTGTTCTTTGTTGTTGCTTTTTGTTGATTTGATTTTTTTTTTCTAATATAACTTTAGACACATTTTTACTGAACTGATTGTGACATTAACATGGTGTCAGGTTTGTTTGGTGCAGATTAAAATATTGGACTGTTAATTATTCATTGTGACGTCCAGAGGAGTCCCTCAGGGCTCCATTTTAGGACCCCTACTCTTCACTCTATTCATAAATAATCTTTGGGATAGTTTACCAACAGCAACATTTCATTTTTATGCAGATGACATAATCGTTAGTCTTTATTGTTGTTCCATTCAATTTATAAAAACTAAAATTTGTTTAATACTGAAACTAAATGTTACTGATATATTTCTAATTTCATAAAATCAAAACAAGAATCTGATATAAATCTTTATTAGTAACATGATCAGACAGTTGCATCTGAAATTAGGTTTAATTTTTATGAATCTATTCTGATTCTCACTTTCTGCCTCTTTATGCATCTGTACAGGTTGGATACTGTTTACCAATGTGCTCCCAGTTGTATTACTGGATGTGGAAATTATGCATCTCACTGTTCAGAGCCTGCTGCTGTTAAATCGCCCTGCCAGTTTGTCCCCAACGTCCCACAGGTTTTAAAGCACAGATTTCTGCTCTGCCGCTCTTTTATCTGTATTTGTAAATACCACAAACAGTGGGGGCTGCAAACGGCAGACGCCTGTTCCCAGAGTCGGAGCATAATTAGGAAAAATGGTGTTGAAATAAGCAGCATCTGCTTCCAGGAATACCGTAAAAACAGGACAAACATCGTCAGCACTGCTGGTTCAGCTGCTCTTCGTTTTCCCCAGGATTTTTCTCTTCAGTTGTTCATATTGTATTATCTGTAGCTGTTTGCTTACATGTTGGATTTGTTGGATGTTTTACTGCTTTTGCAACATCTTTAATATAAAAAATTGATTTTAACCTGTCCTTTTATATTTTTTCTAGGTAGAATGCACATAAATTCATACTTTATGTTTAATCCTGAAATAAATCTGATACATGAAAGATACAGGAACCAAGATCTGCCGTCAAAAATGTTGATTTTAAAAATAAATATATCCAAACTATTTTATCTCAACTCTAAGCCAGTAATATTCAAAACAAAAGAAAGGATAAGGTTTTTATTTTATTTGGTTATTTGTTGCTTTAGTTGTATTAGATGTCTGAAATGTACTGAAAGTATTTCTGCATGTTCAGTGTTGGAACCTACGGGTTTGTTTGTCCGAAGACGAACATGGAGCTGTAGGGAAGAATCTGCCGCGGCCCGTTAGCGGCCTCCTCCTCCTCCTCCTCTTCCAGGTCCTTCTTCTCCTCGCTGAGCTGGAAGTTCCCACAATCGATGCTGTTCACTGGTGCAAAGCAACAGAGAGTATAAATATCACTCACTTACAGCAACATAAAGACAAAACAACAATAGAGAAATGCCAGCTGTAGGTTATCGTAGGATTTGCTTCATTTGTTCCTCATTAGAGGATCCATGATTCACACAGATCTGGAGGCTAAAGACCAAAGAACAATAAAAACATTGTTATTAATTTGAGAATTCATTCACTGCTGTGTGTCTGAGGTAACATAAGTTCACAAACTCCAAGTTCTCGTAGCTAACGGCTACTGAATCGAGCTAACAGTTGCTAAGAGCTAAAACTTAGAGCCAAGCTTACAGCTAGAAGAAAACCACTACATATGGTTAAAGCTGCTCAAAGCTAAGCTGGCGGTTCTTAAGATTAAAGCTAGCAGCTACCCTGGATTGAGCTAACAGCTACACAGATTCTAGCTAACAGTTAGAAGTTAAACCAGCGGTTACATTTTCTTATAGTCAAAGCGACAGCAGGTCAGAGTTGAGCTAAGTCCTGCCAAATGTCAAGCTAATAACTTGAGAAGTTGTTCACTTAGCGAGTCAGAACTTAGCTTGACTAGCTGACTTTTGACTGCTAAGCCTAGGAAGAGCCAGATTTACTGCTGCTTATAGTAAATGTGAACTCTACTTAAAACTGACAGTAACGCTAACAGCTACCCT